GAAGCATCCCTCCTCAGCAAAAACTATACCCACATCAAACACTTTCAAAACTCAAGACGTTTTTGCCACTGTCATCTTGCACCGCAAGTCGTCCCGAAATAGAAAATTGTGAAGGTCAGCATGGGGAAAATAGAGGAGCCATGTGCATGATCGCTCATCGGATCAAAGGTTTCCTAAATCACATGGAAAGTTGTTGTGGCTGCTCTGTGGATGATCTGAATTGGGCATCTGTGTAGCTGAATTGATGGGGTGAGCACACATTTCTCAAATAAGTGATCCCCAGTCTTTGCTGGCGTAGGGGGACCTGGAGTGAACAAGTAACACCGGCAACAACACGCTTTGCAAATTAAAAACCTAAAAACCCACGTCAGCAGGGAGGGCAGCGGTCACGAACAGCACCAGAGGGTCACACAAGCAACATGAGTTATGAGCTGGGCACTTTGACTACCCCTAAGGGACGTTTAAGCTGTCTTAGTTGAGGCATCTTAGCAGCGCTTCAAAATGCCTTTTAAAAGCACTTAGCTTTCTTCATGGCACCACAAAGCGCTAAGATTGTATCTGCAGGAAAACAGGATTACCTCAGATCAGACCCCCTACTCCCAAACCAAGCATGGAAGGGCACGGGTGGATCGACACAGAAAATGAACAAGCATCACCAACACTAATATAAGCAAAGCAATTTACAGAATCAAACCCAGGATCAGACCCTGGGACCACTGAGGATTATTTCATACCATTGGGGTTATTTCTCTGGAAGTTGGACCACCACCTGAAAATAACTCTTTTGAAGAGCTGGGTGAAACAGTTCCTAAACACCCAAGGGCAGCAGATACAGAAGCACAAGTTACAGGCTTTCATTGCCACAGTGCAACAATAAAATCATTCGGGAAATATATACATACTTGCACTCACTTGTGCTTAACAGAGTCATACAATTTAAAAAATAACAACAGATAATGCAACAACTTCCCCCCAGTTCTTGGAAATACCCCAGGTCAAAATCATGCCTGGGCCCCAAAGGGAAATGCTTTATGAAGTTAGATCATTGCAGAACAAAGATATATAAAATAAGCTTTTATGCAGTCTTAAGCACAGAAGCCACTGTTGCAACAATCGATATAATTCTATTAAAAGCAACAAGTAACTTCACCGACTTGGGTTAAGTCAAGTTTTCCTCCGTGAATAAATGGCAAAGGATATTATTTCTGGGACAGAATAAATTCTTGAAATTAGTGAGTAACTTATGCATCGCTCCCTTGCTCCAAGAACACATTATTTATTTTTACCATGACATAGCGAAGTTATTAATCTGCTGCCTTCCATTTCAACAATGCGAAATGCTGTAAAATGCACAGACACCTGCATTACAGTACGTTTCAGTTCCACTTTATATCAGTCATAAACATCTCTGTTTTGGACATCTCTTCAAAACAAATGCTCCAAGCACACTGTGCGTAGCATTCAATTTTATGAAACTATAAAAGTTCTTCACTGTTAATTACACAGACAAATGTCTCATCACACATTTGGTTACCAGGATAATATAATTAGTTTTCTACATTAACCTTTCAAACATAGAGCCTGAATTTCAAGTTGAAAGGCATTGTAAAAACACTCAGTCTGGAGGTATATTATATCTCCGCTTTTTTTGTGTGTGATGATAATAAAATATTAAGACTGAAAAAAACCTATGTGATGTATGCAAAAGATTTTTTTTTTTATAGACAAGCTAGGTTTAATCAGTGTTGTCCACAAGATACGGCTGTACAATTCCCTCACGGGCTTGTATTTCCAAGTCTGGGCTAGCAGCCCTGTGACAGAAGGTTTATGCTGATAACTGGTAAAAGCTGAAGCCACATCTGTCTTAAATCTTGTCCTTATTCAAGGTTTAAGCACTTCGGGGCTGCCTCCTCCTTTTCAGGTCAAGCAGTCTCTCCCGGTATCAGGTAACTAAGCCTTCTTCTTCAAAACAAAACAGATGCCAGTCCCCACCTGCAAAATTCAGTAGTCATGTTTGCCCCCTCCTGAATTTTGCAAACTCCACCACTGCATCACATAAGCAACTGGGCTTCACACCATCACGACCATCAGAGGTCATGTCCAGTACCATGTTCCTCTAATTGCACTGAAGCTTCCTCCAATTTTCAGCCCACATTTACACAAAACCATGTTTTGCCCATCTGTGCCCAGTGCAAAAGAGACCATCTAGGTTCAACAGGTGTTTCCTGATGCTTGATCTTTAGTGTATCTAGACGTTACACAACCTAGATTCTTCCAATTTACTCATTTACCCTAGAAGCTCCCCTCTTCTCAACTGAACTTCAGTTTTGAGTTCATCGTTCTGGACTGGGCAACCAACACGCACACACATCGTACTCCAGATAAAGCTTCACTTGTTCATACAATGGCACTAACATTTCCCCTTTTCTACTTAACATTTCTCCTTTTCTAAAGGTAATGGTTTCAATGATATTCTCAACTGAACTTCAGTTTTGAGTTCATCATTCTGGACTGGGCAACCAACACATACACACATTGTACTCCAGATAAAGCTTCACTCGTTCATACAACAGCATTAACATTTCCCCTTTTCTAAAGGTAATGGTTTCAATGATGTATCTTAGCATCCATTCACATCCTAAAGGCTGCATCACATTGAGGTTTCAACAGCTGATCCCATGGATCAGTTGAAACACCTAAACTGGAGAACAACTTGACTCTAACCCAACAAGTTGGAGTGAACATCCTTCTGGGATGAATTTTGGCATAAAATAATGAAACCAACTGAAGCAGCGATTATACCCTGAAGCTCCTTATTAGTGGACAGGACCCTAAGCTGGGGAAAGCGTTGTTATCCCACCATCCCTGAAGCACAATGGAAATACTACTCCATTCAATGTGATTTTTTTTCAAGGAAAGCTGGAATGCCAAACACCACTCATCCCAGATCCCTGCCAATAGGTGGGAGCCCAGATTTGAAGTGCTCCCAGCTGAGTTCAGTCCCTGACGCTGCTTTTCCTACATCTCGGGCCAGTGCCTTTGTCACTAGGCATCTGGATAAAAGCAGACACCAAAAAACCCCTACTGAAGATAAAGTGGAGAAGGTTATGTGAGCTCTGAGTAACTTACTGAATTCAACCCAATTCCCAAGAAAAAAAAAAAAAAAAGCCCGGTCTACAAATCTTGCACTGTCATATGTCATTCAGTCTTGTCAAAACCAGAACGCTTTGAGGACATCTGAAAGTTGGACACTCGGGACATCGTCAGGAAATAGCATCTTTTTTCTTTTCATAGTAACTGAAGGTGGGCTCCCAGGACTGCAACTCTGTGCTTCAGTACCTGGTAAGGAAGATCCTTGATAGGACTCACATTGTTAAAGGTTAAATTCTGACAGGCTCTTGAAATTAGTGAACTTTTAGGCACTTAAATGCCAGAACACATTCAATCACAAAGAAAAGCTGGGCATAGTCAAAAAAAACCCACCCCAAAACCAAACCCAAAGACAACACAGCCAAACCAAAATCAAAATCAACTGGTCTGACCCACGGCACAGATGCCAAAGCGCACACTCCTGCGCATTCTTAGAAGCATCCTGGCTTAAGCAAATAGATGCCTAACTCCTGCCAAAGCTTCATCATGCTTTAGGGTTGGATGAGAAAGCACTCAAAGTAAACCTCTGGTGGAGCTCACTCCATCAGGTTTACCAGAAGAGCTTACAGAACATGAAATCCAAACACAAAGCCCAGAAGCCACCTTCCCTTCTCCCCCGAAATGGGTGTAAGGAAGACACAGTTGCTCAAAATCCTAATGGTGAGAAGCTGAGAAGGGAATTTAACGCAGCTCTCACCCCCGTGTAAATATTCCAACCATCAGAAGATTCCACACTGCCCAAGACGCCCTCCTGATCTCTCCCATTTGCTGCTGACCTCTAGAAGAGGATGTGGCACCATGAATTAAGGAGACAAAGGCATTTTGCGTGCAGATTAATTTCAGGTGCGGCTTCACACACTCGGGACCGATGCTTCTCCCTGGCTCCAGGAGGCAACACGCACAATCTACACAAACCTTCAACCACCCTACAGACATTTTTAAGCTCCTGGTGCAATTAAGCACCAGCTGACGCCTCCAAACTTCCCACTGCAAAAGCACCCGCTTTCTCCGAGGCCTGAGCAAGGTGTCCAAGAGCTCGCTTTATACAGCAGCAGTTGTTATTGGAGCTCAAAAATCTGGCCCTTACTCCTCTGAATTTTGCTCACTGAATTTTGGCCAAGAGGGGCAGCAGCCAGGTGAGACTCTAGATGGGACAGGAGCGGGCTGGAAGCAGGAAAGGAAGCAGCACCCTGCAGCCCAGGAGTTACACGGGACAAAAAGCACACAGACAGGAAAGACAAAGGTTCACTGATAACCAGTCCTATCATGCTGGAGTATATATCATGTTGCAGACTCTATATTACTTCTCTGTTTTCTTTACACATTTTTAACTGTTGATTTAATTTAATTTTGCCATGGCAGGATTAGCAGGCGAGCTACAGAGGTGAAAGGACATTACATTAAGACAGCACATTAATCCTCTATCCCACCCAAGGCAGAAGCAAAACCAAACAAATAGCAGCTTCCTGGAAATTGAATTTCTGTTATCCAGATGTCAAAGATGTAATACCCCAATTACACAAACTATTGCCAGTGAAGCATGCCAGCGAATATGCAATGTAAATGGGGTGAGCACAGAGCTGCAAAACTGCAGAGTCAGCATCTGGCTCTCTGAGTGAGTGATAATTAGCACTGTGTGTAGACACTAATAAACATTTATGTCTGAAATTACAACTTTTAGCAGTGTTAATAAAGGATATATTGGCAATTCGTAGAATAAAAGGGTCTTGAAAAGAACGTCATATTAAACAATGGCAGGCGCTTCCTGTGCTTGCACAGAGATTTTTTTCCTCCCTAATTGCAAATGGCCACGCTATGTTGCTCGGAAATTAATCAACACAAGCACATACCTAAAAAAACTGGTTGTGTTTCTTTGGTCTCCCCATTAACATCATTGCTGTAGTCAGAGATCTTATATATCTCATGATGGTAATCTGGAATGAAAAACGATAAAAAAAATTAGAACTCAAGTGATCTGGAAAAAATGAACACTGAACACATTGCTACAGTTTTACTACATAATTTATCAATATATCTGCAGTTTATTTCATGTACATCAAATTAACCACAGAAAATGTGCTCTGTATCAGCACCTCCTAAAAAAAAAAACACAACAAAAAACCACAACTTTGCTCACACTGGAGAGACTCAGCTCAAATATTTCACAGATTTTAGGGAATAGCTACGCCTGCCCTAAATTACTGTGTTCATTTTCACAGCAAATTATCCCACCAGATGCCAATTATCTGGCTTCTTGCTTTACAGATGGAAAGCAGATTTATAATGAAAACTTTACCTTTCCCGAGACTAAGGGAAACTTTCAAACTTCACCTCAATCCGAAAATCAGCAACGTACATTAGGGCTGCGTCGTTCAGCTATCCTAAATCCTACTGGTGTCACTGGCCTCTGAATCGTGGGGAAAGGAGGATCAGAGGCAACTTAGGAAATTCATGTCTAGAAACTAACGCCTGTGATCACCCTAAGAATAAACGTTAACATCTCATATTCAGAGATGTTACAGGATTTAAAAAAAAAATAAAAAAAATAAATATAAAAAAAAATTAATCAGTGAATTTATATTTCAAATAAAATAATGTTTTTCTGTGAAGGTCTCTGCCATGGTGTTCCCAGGCAGGTGTTCAGCAAAGCCAGAGCTTTGTTTACATGTGTGTACAGAGGGAATAGTAAGTCCTAGAGAAAAAAAAAATAAAAATGTTTAAAGGCAGCTCTCCTGGATGCTATTTCTGACTCTGCTACTGGCACACACTTTGTCCTTCGGCAAATCGCTCCAGACCGAACAATATATTCAGTGTCTTGAAAGAGCCACCTCCCCATCTAACTCCTTTAATGCCCTCCCAGTTCCCAGTGCTCTCAGCTACTCCCTCCGTAAACTGGTTTTTACGTCTACCCGCCCCACAAAAAGGGAGGCAGAGATTAACTCCTGGAAGGGCACTTTGGAGGATTCACTTCAAAGGCAGAACAGAAACGGAGGGCGGCACAAATGGCTCCAGCTCCCAGGAGCAGCACACCTGCACCTCTGACAAAACAGCTACAGGATCAGAAAGGTTTCCTGGAAGCCAAACTCTTTTTTTTTTTTTTTTTTTTTGTAATGTGCTGTTTATTTGTACAGCACAACTGTCTGGAGGGCACAAGAGGAGGAACAACCCAGTAAGTAAACGAGAACTGAGCTTAACACAGTGAGGCAAAAGAAAGAAAAG